GTGGGTACAGTTACCACAAAGGATGCCAAGCCTAGACCAGCAGATAGGACAAATGGGCAGGGACGGTTTCTAGTCATTGCAAATACTTAAAGCAGGGTTGATCATTTTAGAGGCCAGCTGGGGCCAACAAGCCAGACACAGAGTGTCACAATGGCAGTCTGGGGAGATGGCTCCAGGTGAAGAATGTGTCCTGAGAGCTCCCCAAAACCCATAAAGAGGCATCTGTAATCTCAGCACTCCAAAGGAGAGATGGGAAGTGGAAACAGAAAAGTCTCCAGAAGCCCATGGGCCAGCAAATCTGGTGCAGGAAATGAGCCAAAGATCCTGTCTCCAACAAGTAGGACCTCTGCATGTACATGGTGGCACTCGCACACCTGCACTCATGTGAACACACACACACACACACACACACACACACACACACATTAAAAAAAGAGAAAAAGTACTTCAGTGGCAAGCCAGGAACTCTAACCTGACTCCCAAGTGCAGCAGGCCAGAACCAGGACGGCACTGGACAGACATACTGACTTTGTTATGTGCTATGCACATGCTGTCTCCTTTCCAGGAACCTACAAGCACCATGCCAGCTATCCATGGCTGTGTCACCAAAGTGAGTAAAACAGAAGCCACGGTTCATTCTCCTTACAGGTCTGGATTTGTGTGGTGCTTGTCAAGGAAGGCTCATCTCTGCCCTGCTGCCCTCAGTTGTGGTGGCACACCCGATGGGAGCCGGAACATTCCTTCTGACATGGCTCACTCCCGCCAGTGCGATCTTGGTTACTTGTCTCGTGGCTGAAATGGAATAACTTCCAGAGACACCCTAAGAAAGGATTTTTTGTTTGGGTTCACAGTGCGTGGCTCCTCTGATTCTGGGCCCATGGTAAAGTGAAGTCTCATGGCGACAGGCGTGGAAGAGGGTGCTCACATCGTAGTGGATAGCAAGCAGAGGCGGAGGACTGGACCAGGGACCAACACACCCCACATCCTTCCTCCAGCTCAACCTTGCTTTCTGAAGTTACACCCTCCCCAAACAGCACAGCTGGGGAGTACTGTGGGGAATGTTTCCTCATGCACACCATGACAAGTCCTGCCTGGATTCTTTTCCAGGCCTGGCAGCCCCTTCTGTCTTGATGGCTACGTTTCAAGAACAAGCACACTGAGGTGCCAGGAAGGAACTTTTCCCCATCTGCCACCTTGACTGGGAAGCATCATGGTGGCCCTAATCACAGGCTCGGTGGGCGTGGTTATCTCGCTTCAGATCCTCCCGTCTGAGTCAGCTTGGTGAGGGTGTAGCTAGGCCCTGGAAAAACTTCCCTGGTGAGCGCAAGCTTGGGCTTTGTCAGCAGAGGGCGCTGGAACTGCAGGAAGGCCTGGAGCTGAAGAGGCTTCCCTGTCTCCTGTTCCTTGGGGGGGGGGGGGGGTTGCTCCCTGGCCCCAACCCTCCGTTTTGGTCCCAGCACCCTTCTTCCTCTAGCCCTGCAGCCCCCAGTGGACTCTCTTCAGAGACCCCAGGTCTGAGTGTGGCTTCTTGCAGACTCCTCTGTTGTCCTATCCCCAGGGATGCCTTCAGCTGTCTGGTGGGAGCTCCTGGCCAGCACCTCTCCCCCCAAGTGATTCTGCTTTCACCCTTACCAGGCTTCCTCACCAAAGACAGCCTCACCCTCCACCAGAGTCTTCCCAGCCTGGACAACTCAGCAACTTCCTACAGTCATTTTCTTGGCATTTGCTACTCCTGCATTTCCTAAGGTCTTATGTGCCCTTTGGATGACTGAAGGAACAACAGCCCAAGTGACCATATAGCTTCTGTCTCTTTCTGGGACCACACAGGCAGGAGCAGCCCTAGGAGCAGTGTCTTCCAAGATGGACTTACAGTGTACACTGGGCCTGGCATTGGTGTGAATATGCTACTGAGCTTCTTGCTTATGGGAAATGGCTGCTTCTGTCCATGGCCTCCAAGGAGGCTGCTTCCACTGGCTGGCGGTGATAAAGGGCCACTTAACATGACTTGGGGGCCAAGTAACTGCTGCCTGTCACCTTGGTGCAGAGGGGCCCTCAGGGCACTGGGACATTTACAGCGGTCACCAGGTAAGTCCAAAGTCCTCAGCTAAGAAGCCAAGTGCTGCCTGCCTTCTCATGGCTGCAGGACCAGCACTGTTGCAGTCAGAGCCTCTGTATTCTTGCCTACCATGCCATCACAAGACTGGCTGAATGTGCACCTGGCCATACAGGAGTTCCTTCTGGAAAGGCAGGGCCTTGGCCTGGGTGGAGCTCAGTGGTGAATCACTTCCTGAAACAGAGAGCGATCCTGGATCCTTTCCCTGGCACCAGAGGGGGAAAGTTAGCACCTTGATGGAAAGACAGGAACCCTGAATTCCAAATCACATGAGTCCTCTCCCACCAGACAGACTTGGCAGTGGCCAAAGAAACTGGAGCCCCACATTTGGAGATCTCTTTATGAGGCCATCTGTGGCAAGTCCTCAGGAGTCCCCTTCCTCCTTGAGGACCCCACCTTTTGTTTGCCATGAAGCTTGTAGTTAAGTCCTGGGGCCCACAATGTGACATGGCAGGGAATGGCTTGGAACAGGGATTGGAGACACAACAGTGCTCAGAAGGCTGCCACAGGAGGGTCATGAGTTTAAGGTCTACTTGAACTACATAGCAAAATGTAGCCTCTAAAATTAAAAAGGAGCAAATACTAAATGTTTTGTTTTGAGAAGACACAAGGTTTCTGCCCACTTACTTTCTTGTTCTTCTGGTCTCTACCTGTTATAATAAAGTGTGTGGAGGATTCTGGCAGATTCCATGGCCAGCGAGGGACAAACACGCCAGGTAGACAGGGCTTAAGTGAGTTTTATTAGAAAGGGAAGGGGTGGGCGGGGGGGGGGGGGGAAGAGGCACAGAGACAAAGAGAGAACAGAAAAGTCCTGTCTGCCCCAGGGGAACATCAGGAAAGAGAGGGGAAGTGGGCAGGGTCTTTCTTTTAAAGACAGGGAACATTCAACCTGCCATGCCAGGTGGGTGAGAGGTGGGGCCAGGTTTGCCTAGATTACTAGATTACGACACTACTGTGTGTGTGTGTGTGTGTGTGTGTGTGTGTGTGTGTGTGTGTGTGTAGTTTTTTTTTAGTTGGGGTTACTATTGCTGTGATGAAACACTGTGGCCAAAAGCAACTTGTGGAGGAAAGGTTTATTTATTTGGCTCACACTTCAGCATTGCTGTTCATCACTGAGGGAAGTCAGGACAGGAACTCAAACAGGGGCAGGAGCCTGGAGGCAGGAGCTGATGCAGAGGCCGTGGAGAGGAGCTGCTCACTTGCTTGCTCCCCATGGCTTGCTCAGCCTGCTTAGAACCCAGGACAGCATGCCCAGGGATGGCACTACCCACAATGGGCTGGGCCTTCTCCATCAGTTACTAATTAAGAAAAAGCCCTACAGCCAAATCTTTTTTCTTTCTTTCTTTTTTCTTTGTTTTAAGACAGGGTTTCTCTGTGGCTTTGGAGGCTGTCCTGGAACTCGCTCTGGAGACCAGGCTAGTCTCGAACTCACAGGGATCTGCCTGCCTCTGCCTCCCCAGTGCTGGGATCAAAGGCATACAACACCACCACCAGGCTCAACAGCTGGATCTTATGGAGGCATTTTCTCAACTGAGGTTCCCTCCTTTCAGGTGGCACTAGCATAAAGCTAGTCCCATCTTTAACCCAGCACTTGGGAGGCAAAGGCAGGGCCTAGCCTGCATATCAAGTTCCAGGACAGCCAGAGCTACATACAAAGAATATATATATATTCTTAGCTTTCAGGCTGTGCAAAAAAAGGGAGGGCATTTTCAAGCCAATTTTTGCCATAGTTGCCAAATCCTGGCTTATACACAGCAAGAATTCAGACACCTTCAGCTCTGTGTTGGCAGAGACCAGGGAAGATGTGTCGAAGAGCTCCCAGAGTGTTAGGCTGAGGAGGCTGAAGCAGAGCCCTGGCTGGCCACACCCCTAGCTATACTGCAGCATCTAGACAGGCACAGGACTTCAGTCGGTTACTAGGCAGACTGGACCTCAGTTAGTGACTCTGGGATGTCAGGACATCCTAGCACTGAGTAGACAGAATGGACAGAGAGGTTGGGTGTGGAGGTACAGGGCCCTGTCTCATTAAAACAACAACGAGTGGACAGGGAGCCTCAGATGTGGGGCCCACAGGACACCTCTATCCCACACCCCACAGCATGGCCTCCCCTAGGGCTTGAGAACTACACAAATGGGAAGCTCCCGCCTCCTAGAAAGGTCCACCAGCAAGCCCTTTATAGGGACCATTACTGAGATTTCATGGGGCCAGTGGGGCCACAGAACAGGGGAGACTAAGATGCAATAGCTAGCCACCAAAGCCAGGGGCTGAGCCATAAAGGACGGCTGAAAGTGCTGGCATCTGTAGTGCCCTGGAACCCAGGACCCCTGGCTAGCTGGAGGGCCGCTGGGAGTGAAAAACAACCCAGCCGCCTAGAAACTGCTTCTCAGGTAACACAAGGAGCTAGAACCCTGGGTGTAGCCAGAGCCTCGAGTCACCACCACAGATTTACTCTTGGCCTCTCTTGCTGTCCTTTTCCAGGCAAAGCCAAGTCAAGACTGAGAGCCACTTCTGGGTGAGGGGACCCAAGAGCCACGGGAGGGACACGAGGACTGAGGGACCTGTGGGCGAGGGAAGGAAGGATGTGGGCAGTTCAGGTGTCACCAGGGAGCCGTAGTCTCTGGGTTTACATGACCTATGGACCCCGAGGGAGCCTGAGCCCAAAGTTCAGAAAGTCGTAAAGGAACGAGCATGCTAGGCACTGGCCGCAGTGAGAGAGAAGACGAGGAGGCAAAGGTGACGATGACGAACTGCAGGTGCACGCGGGTGCTCGGCCTTGCAGCAAGCACTTGGAGGTCTAACACAGCGCATTTCCTGTTCAGGGACAGCAGGGCGGGGGCGTCGGCTGGGCGTTTCCGAAGGTCGGGAAGCCTGGCTTAGGCTCACCCATCTGAGGTGCACTGAATTAATCAAAGATCCCGTACGATTAGCCGAAGGGGCGCGGCGGGGCGAGCCAGGCGCTAGGTGAGCCCTCTAAGGACGAA